ACTTTTTCATACCAAGGACCACCTAACCAATAAAAAAACACTCGCGGACCACCTAACTCCACAAATATCCAAAAACACATAGTTTTTTACAAATCGCTTGAAAATGGTACAAACAAGTGGCAACATGTGTGATGAAGGTGTTTATCTGGGCTATTTCATGCAATCGAAAGTGAAACTTAAGCTCGTTCCATTGCGAAGATATTCCCGCGAGAGTGCGAAAAACTTAAATAAATGTATTTCTTTCAAATGTGAAATGTTACCAATATACTCACGGACCACTAGGGGGCGCTCACGGACCACCAGTGGTCCGCGGACCACACTTTGAGAAGCACTGATCTAGACTATCAAATATTTAAAGTGTTATTTAATTGGTATGAGTGTAAATGCCAGGAACTGTTGATGGAAATAAGACAATGGCTTCATTTGGCATAAATCACCCCTTCTCTTTTTGAGATCTATGCTTTTTTTATGCATGGTCCAATGTTTCTCGTTCAAACATTACACACAAATATTTGCCTTCATTCATCTTTATTTTTAATTGAATCAACTTTACACGCCGAAGATGGCTTTAAGTCTGTAGTACTTTGTAGAAACTGTAGGTTGGATTTTCCATGGTTTGCATGCTATTGTAACACGTTGAAATGCTGAGCTTCATTGTACATATGTAACAGTTTAACAATGGGTTTAATCTTACATGGTCAGGTTATACAACCTCTGAGACAGTAGGATTTGATGCAGGAGTATTTGGTCTTCTCCCATTTAATTATGACTCTAATTTTCATATTTCAGTTTGTGTACAAATGAACCATCAACATGAATAAGTGCCTAACCATTCTTCCTCCTGCCCGCAGGTACCCCAATCAGCGGTGGCTCTGGGTGTGATCCACTGCGAGGTGGTGCCCTCTCACATGTTTTACGCTGCTAACGCCAGTCTGGTGGCCCTCTGCTGCCTGGGAGAGAAAGTGAGCAGCAAGGGAGGCCCCGTGCTGCTGAGTCAGGCTCCCATCTGCCCCTGCGTGGGCTTCGGTAGGTGACCCTTCAACTCTGTGAGCTCAGAGGGGCAAACAATAATGTCTCATGATCAGGAAGGAATAATCTATCTTCAGCCAAACCTCACATTCAATAGTCTCATTTAGTTCTTGCATAAATATTTCAATTAATCCTTGATGTGGTTTGGAACATAATATGGTGTTTAATCACGGCAGCGTTTAGCTCTCTTCTCTCTTAAAAAAAAAAAAAGGTATTCATTTTTTTGTTTTGTTTAAAGCTACGGACCCAGGGCTGAAATAGAGGGGTATGAGGCATAAGGCGCGTTCACACCGCAGTACTTTTCCCACTTTACTTCCGATATAGTTCCGAAATGTTGCGTTCACTCCAACAAAATCCGGAACTAAAATTAGTTAATGAGAACCTTTTTACCCCCTTTTCCGTCCCTGCTAGAGAGCAGGTACTTTCGTGGGAGAAAAAGGTTCCTATTTCTGATTGGCTGGGCGGATTGAAAACCACGCCCCGTGAAACTCCCAAAAAGTTTTGTGAAGCCGCCATTTTACTATCCTCGCATTAGCATTATTAGCATTAGCCCAGCGCACAAACGCAGAGAGACTAACTTATGGCAACACAAAATAAAACATGGGAGCAGTGGAGATGAGGAGGTGTCGGCGTTCTGGCGATTTACTCGGAAGGCTTCAGTAGTTCAAGTTGTTTGAGGCCTGCCAGTAACCTCAAAGAAGAAGAAGTGACGTCAGCGGCTTCATTTGCCTAATCCTCCCCAGGAACTTATTCCGGTGTGAACGCGATCTGTACTTAATTCATGAGAACTAAAGAGTTCTAATGCTAGAATGGGTGATCTGTTTGGTATTTTGAGCAAAACACTAGATATACATGTTTTTTATATATCTGAGACCTATAATATATGCCTAAAAATAATATAATAGGAGACCTTTAAATTCAATCGTTAAATTCAGTATATCTTTACATGCTAATGTGTTCCAGGTGTGCTTCGAGGTATCGACTTGGCGCGAGGTCTGTACTTTTTACTGACGCCTGTAGATCCCTCCATCCTTCGTAACGTCAACTGTCTCCTCCTGGGAGCGATATCCCTGCCTTCCTGTATCCTCACAACACAGGTCAGAACACTTCTCCGGTCCATCTCTTTCATTTCCTATCTTTGGCATGTCAAATATCATTACATATGTGCTTAACATACATAACATTCATCTGTTTACAACTCACATATATCTTAGCCTATATATCAATATGTCAAGTACTATATATAGACTATTCTGCACAGTTTCTATCATATTCTGTTTCTATTATATCTATTTTATTTTATTGACCTGTAGCTATGCACACACATGACAATAAAGGCCTTGAAACTGAAACTTTTCTCATGACGTATGCTACCTTTTGTCCTTGTTCCAGCCTGGCTTTGATGGAGAGATGCCCTACATCACTAAAGACTACAGTTTTGATCTCACCGGTGCAGGAAAGCTGCGAGTCTTCAAGGGACTGACCAGACCCAGTCAAATGGGGAATTAGTGACATTTCTTATACATCATTTCTCTGTACCCTTCTTACCTGCTGTTTCCCACCCAAAGCAGTAAGGATTGGCCTTTCCCTGTACGGACCTGAGGTTGAGATGGACAGTTTTTTACTTCAAGATTCAGTGAGACGGAGCAGCCAGCGTCACAGACTCTGCAGGAAGAGATGGCTGCCTTCCTGTTGGTGGACGTACAACCTCTTACTGTACGAACATCTGAAGGAACAGTGAAGGAGTGCGTTTCCTTGACAATAATATCACACTTTGTACTTAAAACTCTTTATTGTCGTCTCTCCTTTGTGTTGTAATCAATACAAATAGCTGCCGGATATTAAACAAAAAACACCTTCTGCTCAGACTTTGTGGTTTTATTGATTTCAAGTGCTGTGTCATATAGTCATAGATCCATGTCGACTTCAACCATTTAATGGATTAGGATTACTGTGAATCTGAAGCCCATGTTGTCAGTATTGTGCTTAAATACCAGTGAAATGATATCGCTCTTCTTTTTTTGGCTTACTGCTTTAACTGCTGTACATTTGGTCTTGTCTTAACGACAACGTGTTCTTGCACCGGTGGGTCATTAAAAGTGTTTTGTAAATGCAACTTGTTTACTTTTTTAAGCCTATGTGGGATGTAAAAGATTCATCAAAGACTAATGGTTCTACATGTTGTACCTCAAGGGGGCAGCAAATGGATTTTGAGATTTTGAACAACAGCAGATGTTCACTTACAATAAGTTTTAGGGCAGCAATTAAAACATATTAGCCTGTGAAACAGAATAACTTCTTTCATATTCAAATTGAAGAAATTCTAATTAAAGAAATAACAAACCCCATGTCTTGTAACTACCTAAACTGGCCTCAAATGATCTTACTTGAAAATTAGGAGTACTGGGACGTAAACATCCACTCACACAGTGAAGAATTGCTAATTTGTTAAGTGGGCTCTTTTAACATCCCCTCTCTGTCTGCCCCCCTCGCTCTTCTTTGTCTGCTGCTCCCCGCCTCTTTATGGAGGCTGGGGAGCACACAAACACAACACAGCTACATTTTGGCAGTGTCATTGTTTTGGCTTTGTCAGGTCAGATGTTTTCCCATGCAGACCTCATGCAAACCAAAGAGAAACCCCTCTGTGGGGGTGACACGAGACGGCCGGCACGAACATGAATAAGCAGAAATAACAACACACATCTGTGAAAAGGCTTTGAATACAAATTCAAATGATGAATGTTATGAAAGGCTAGTATAACCTGAAATATGTTGTTACTTCACACTTCTCTTAATTTAGTAGTTACTTAACTGCTTATCTGGGGGTAAAGCTTGAATGAGAAGGCATGTATGCAAATAAAAACTGTTCAATTTCTATTTTAAGCAAAGAAACAAAACGTTTCCAAGATCTAAATAGTGGATTTTTTCCCAAAACAGGATTGGTGGCAGAATCAGTTGTCTTTTTAAGGCCCTAAAAAGTATAAACACACTCAGTCATGCAGACATCTGTGTTGTGTAGCTCTGTTTTGAACAATAAACCTTGTGTATCAACTGGTCTGTGCCTCACTTATGTAACGTCCCCCCTCCCAAACAAACAGTGCGTATGTTGCCTGCAAACACAATTGTGCTGAGTAAAGTAACAATGCAGAGGCAGCGTGCCATTATAACTCAAATCCCTCTGTTCAATTCAAAAGAACATGTGAGGAGAGATTCAGCCCACTGTTTCATGAATTGCTTTGATTCTCTGAAACCACATAACAATAGTGCAATGCCATTAGTCTCCAAATAATCAGCTGTTAACCCATTTAACCCCCATTTCCACCACTTTATGTGTATTCAGTTGATTCACTTTAATAAAGGTCCTCAGTTACATCAGGCAACAAAGTAGAAGCAACATGAAGGACTAGCTTAGCATGTGTCAAATGTATTGGTTATTACTTATCTAACTCCTTACATCTTGTAAAAATAAAACAAACTGTAAATACAACTTATATACAGTATATACATAACCATATACATGTATATAATGACCATAATAATTTACTAGTGTGAAAAGATCAATTCAATAACAAGTACTTTTACTTTTGATACTTTAAGTACATTTTGATGCTAATGCTAATATGTACTTTCAGTTAAGTATCATTTTGAACTCAGGACTTTTACTTGTTGTGGAGTATTTTAAGACTATAGTATTTGTACTTTTAAATAAGTAAAGGATCTGAGATACTTCCAACACTTTGCTTTCAATCACTCAATGATAATTAATAATATATTTTTATGTTTTGGACCTTTTCAAGATAACTTGGTTGCCAGACATCTGGATATTCTTTGGATAAAAATGAATGGACCCTAGTGTGTGTGTGTGTGTGTGTGTGTGTGTGTGTGTGTGTGTGTGTGTGTGTGTTTTGTCTATGTCTCTATGGCGCCCCTAGAGGCCACCAGGCGCACAAAGAGGGGAACTGCAACGAGTCTTTGTGGATCCAGGTTGTGTGAATGAATGGAGAGCCGATGGTTGATCAGAGAGGACGACGAGACGAAGCAGCGGACAAAATGTGTTCAACTTCCCCGGCACAGTGTGTACAGTTCATATTCGGAAGCCTATCCATGGATGTGCCGATTTAAACACCCTGAACAAGGTGTTCTTCTCCTCGTATTTCTATTTCTACACCAAGGGGGCTTCAGCAACACACGTCGGACGTCGAGGAGATTTTTGTTCTCATGTGTGCAGCAACAACAGGTTATTTACAGTTTAGCACACACTCCAACGTGCAGCTTGAACCTAGTGGTTGTTAGATCAGTGTTAACTTTTCGTGGATGCTGTTGTTTCACTCTTTCCCGTGCATTCAAAGCGATGTGAGCTTTGTGTGCCGACCACATATCCTAACAAGGCTGAGCAGCAGGCTTTAAAAGGAGGGCGACCACAGAAAGGAGGATGCCAAAGATAAGCTAATAGAGCTAATTAAACATCGCTGGGGTGATTAGCATTGATCCTGCCACACACAGATCTGCAACACAGCTGCTGTTGGTGCAAGGGATTTTTTTTCTTCCTGCATGCATAGATGGTGCCAAACAAGTGGACCATGAATTCAGTTCTGCACAAATCACCACCAAGGAGCTGGCTTGGACTCAGACTACGAATCAGTAAGTAAACATCATTATTAATGTCAAGCTTTTGGATAACAGCCTCAATGAGTCACCTGAGTGCTTTGTTCTGTCAGAAGCACCGTCTGTAGGGCACTCTGAGTTGCTCATGGATAGGAAGGGGAATTACTTTGATCCCAGATCTTTGTTTAATACCTACCCCCCATCAAAGTTACAGGCTGGATTTGGCAAGTGACCTGAGCAATTATCCCAGTACACTCTGATCTGAACTTCCCCTCATGATGAAGGGTCTAGGTACAGCTCAGATGATATATATTACATCTTGTAAATCTCCAAACCAACACTATTTATTGTATTTTTCCTCCCAAGGCTTGCCATCTGTGTTCCCTTCTCGCTTTCCCAGCTCATAACTCACATCAAAGTGAACAATTTGGTATGTTAGGCTTTCTTAGGGCTGCAACTAACAACTATTTCCCCAAGAAGCACTTAAAATGTTTTTTTATTTCCAAAAACCTAGAGAAAGACCTAAATGAACACTTAAGAAAGTTCGCCCCAGTGACCTTTCTGGCATTTTTGTGCTTTAAAAAGTGAACGATTAAAGACTGATCCAAATAATTGCAAATTAGTATTCTCTTAGTCCACTAATCTCTTTCAGTTTTACTCGCAGCACCCTCACATGTGTAGCCCTCTCTCAGGCGTTTACATGTGTGATGCATGCATTGCTGGCACGGATACATACAGTAAGTGAAGTAAGCATGGAGTTAAAGTTTAGCAGCCTTAATTGGTTGGGTCTGGAAACCTTCAATGTTCCAGGCCACCGGAGTCTTAAGCCTGTCTTAAACACACTGGTCTAATCTGGGACCAGATGTCTTGTCTGGTCTCTGTCCACCCTCCGAAAAAACAAAAACAGTCTAGAAACCTCGGCTGTTTCTCTTTTGATTTACTATTAGGATGTTATAGTGTCGGCCATCATAAAAGAGGACATCTGTTAGAAAGTCTACACGAAGCTCTGGTTTAAATGAGTGATTTCATGAATGTGGTTTGGTTAGTTGAGTATCAGAGCCTTTATTTTCATAATTGGATGCTCAGAGATGTTTTTATTGAGTTATTTTTGCTATAATCTATTGGTGGAGGTTAATACTGCTGTCAAATTGTCTACGTATCCAATAGTTTAGCCTAGTAGCTGTTCTGGAGCTTTCTATAATATCCATGAGCTTCATCAGCAGATGGAGTATGCCATGCATGTGATTTTAGATGTTTCCCAGCACTTGAAGAATGTCTTTCAAATGTTTGCTTTAAAACTAAGGTTCAATATTTGTGCTTGACCTTGGAAACCGTAGGTAAGACAAAAAGGTCTCTGAGCAAGGCCAATTTTGTCAGCTGTTCTGAAAAATCGACAGGTTTTTTGCCAAGAAATTGGTCCAATTTTTATCCGAAAACTTAATTTAAAATCCAAATCTTCCATTCCTACATAATTTGTCAAACATTTTTTATCACAAAGTCCGCTTTTCTGGTCTTTTCCATCTTATCTCGGGATCTTCATGAGCAGAGGAAGTTTGCTTGGACCAGATCTCTAGATTTCCATTTTGTGCACACTTCCATGTTGATTCTTGAACAGACAATGTCTCTTTATTTTGCTGTTGCGGAGCTATTGATCACACGATTGTGTTAAATGTCCATTTCCTTTGTGCTTCCCAAACATGTTGGCTCCTAGGAAGCAGTTCAGAGGTCATTATTGAATAGCATTTGAGGAAACGGTCAAACATCACAGTCCCTTTAGTGACTGCTTTCAATATATCACATGATCTGCCTCTGTCTTTGCACCTCAACAACTTCGAAAACCATGTTTGTTTGTTTAATCGTTTATTTGAACCGGGACAGTGCACATTAATGAACATTTTAAACAAAATAATGCTTTCAAATGTAAATGAGCCGGATTTTAGCTTTGAGCTAATTTCCATCCGTAGTCCCGTCACATACAACATTTATGAACATGTTGCCTTATAGATTAAATGAATGTTGGTAAAGTCTCACCATTGGGTCCATTGAGTAACTGCTCTGGGGTTTTTATGAACATCACATTGAGCTCATGCCATGGAGTCTATAATTTCATGGGAAAACTCCCATCTGATAATGAAAGTCATGTCAAATAGTTGAAAGCACCAAAACAGCTACTAAATTGAGTTCTTTGAGCAGGTTTTATCTGCAGGAGGTAACATTTGCAGCGTTTCGTCTTTCTACTTCCAAATTGCAGTCTGACTAGACTGTGTGTGTGTGTGTGTGTGTGTGTGTGTGTGTGTGTGTGTGTGTGTGTGTGTGTGTGTGTGTGTGTGTGTGTGTGTGTGTGTGTGTGTGTGTGTGTGTGTGTGTGTGTGGTGTGTGTGTGTGTGTGTGTGTGTGTGTGTGTGTGTGTGGTGTGTGTGTGTGTGTGTGTGTGTGTGTGTGTGTGTGTGTGTGTGTGTGTGTGTGTGTGTGTGTGTGTGTGTGTGTGTGTGTGTGTGTGTGTGTGTGTGTGTGTGTGTGTGATTTTCCCTTGGCTCGTGGCTTGTTACAGTTCAAACTTCCTTCTTCAGACTGTCTCTCCATTGTTCCACTTATTTTTCCCCGACAGTAATTTCCTTTTCTCTTTTCCACTCTGTGCATTTCTGCCTTTTTCCTGGTGGCGCCCCGGGTCACCGTTTTTGTTCTGCTTTTTGTTTTTCTCTCTTTCGCTACAACTGCTCAGGACTGACTATCCAGCTTCATGTGCAATGTTGCAACTTATTTAAAATGACATGACAACCATCAGTTGGTTTATAAAGGCCCTGCACAGCATTTGATGTAGCTGTTTAACTTTGTCATGGCTCTAGTGGTTATTTAACTGTACTCTTAGTCTTAAAAACAGAGATGTGCATTTCCCCATAGTCCATACTGGTGTACATTGCAATGCAGCTCGTTCTTTCTCTGGTTGAATGTGTTACAGACTGTAATAGGAAAACAAATGAAGCACTGATGATGCAGGGACTCTCTGATCCTCGTCCTTGTGTCTGAAAGATAATTTCCGTCCTTGAATCTCTTCATCTCTGTAATGTACTTCCTCTATTTGGATTTCACTCCAGCAAGAAGTACAAAAGGTCATGTGACATTTCATGCACAAGTAGATGCAACATATAAAGTGCATTTGGATAAAAACAAGCATATTGAAGCCATCAAAATACCATTGTTCTTGTTCTTTTTCCTTTTATATGTTAATATATTTTATAATCGTTGTTTTCATTACTTTTTCTCTCTCTAGATGTCAGAATTCTGAGCTATGAGTATTTTGATCAATGAGCATCTAGGTATACTGAATTGTAAATTGGGGCTAAATCTAGTAAATCAGTTATTCTGCAACAATTTATTTATTATTGTTTAATTGAAGAGTCCATTTTGAGACAATCTCAATATTTTGTTAAGAAACAAGATCTTTGGCTCAAATACTGTCCATCTTTGTTTTTACAAGTGTTTAATTCACAAACACTTGCACATATTTAGAGTTTTACCTAATTTATCAGTGCAAAATATGTGTCAGAATATCGTCTAGAGCTGCAACTACTGAACCATAAAGCAAGTACACATATTTCCTATTATTTCAAACCCTTCCTTTGAGAGGAGTTTGGCTAACTCCTCTCCTCTCCTCCAGGTGAAAATTACAACACACGGGTATAAAAAGGTTAGTGGCCTTCTAGGCGTCACTTCAGTATGTTTTGCAGTTTTGGTCCGATTTACCCTCTCTTCTCCCTGACGTAACTTTTCCGATCATCCCTTTCTCTCTTACAAAGGACTCCTAGAAGACTTAGAAATGGCCTTTTAGTAAAGGAGACGAGACTATTCTTCTACTCTTAACTGTTAGGCTCGTATTACCCTCATTTGCAGCGGTTTCTATAACTTGTCTCCCCAGTTTTGAGGGACATTGCTTAACAATAAATCTTTCTTGAGTTCAAATGTCTGATTGTGTGCTGTTTTCCCCGAGGGATATTATTCTCTCTCCTCGTCCTACTTTGCTGTTTTGCATCAACAAACAAGGAAGAAACTGTTGGGCTGTGCTTTGCATTTTCCTTTCATTTGGGTACAGAAATACTTCAACCTAATACAGTGCTTGTTTATCTTGTCATTGTGCAGAGTTAATCTTTACATTTTGACTAGAATCTAACAAATATCATCGCATTGACTTGTGTCTAAATGCATGAACTGCTTCTATACTGTGCAGCTCATAATTAGAGGGGCTATGCTAAGGTCACACACACCTTCTTAAAAAACGCAGATGTTTATCTCACACTCCTAACCTCCACCCTGGCTAAATGGCTGTTTATATGTATTGCAGCCCTCCACATGACAATAACTGTACTTTTCGGGAATAAGTGTTTTTGATTCCTGTTGACTCTGTTATTGGCTTCTCAATGTCAGCCCCCACTGCAATTTTAACCAGATTGTTTCATTTATGGGATTATTCATATCAACAAGTTGAAGAGTGGTTGTTGATCTGGTTTAAGGATGGATATTTAAATTACACGATGCTTCACAGTAATTCACTTGGATGGGGATGCTCCTGCAGAGTGGCTTCTTCATGCAGCACTTTTTTGATGGTTGATGTGTCATTGTTTATAAAAATGTAAATATATGGAAACATCTGTTGATAATATGGTAAAAGCAACCTGTTTTGTTTGTTTCCATTCCTGGATTTGGGTCTAGGAAAGTTTGGTAGTTGTAGCTCTGTACTAAACTGCTTTTGGTGGTTCATTGTCAGTCAAACTGAAATATCTCAAGTTGTGGAGGAATTTTTATGAAATGTGGAGCAGACGTTAATAGCCCCCTCGGGTTGAACTATAGTAACCCTTCCATGTCATCATTTTAACTTGTCCAATACTTTAATTGAATACCAGTTACACTCAGAACTCATGCTAATCATGTTTAGCTTAACTTTGTGTTTTGTGCTAATTACCGCATGCTAATACACATACAGACATTTCACAAAAAACGAAGAAACTTGCTATAGATACAAACATTGTGTTAATTATTAT